GGTAGAAGGATAATAAAATTGACAGGTTAAGTGAAATTTGTTCCCAAATGAATCAAATTTTCACTTTGTACAAGTGAAAATTGTACACTTGGAACAAAATTTCAGTTTACATTTAACAAGGGAAAGCCACAGGCTGTCATCATCTTAACGTATATCTACAAATGTTATGCCGTGCAAAAGAAAGTTTGCCACACAAACAAGTTCATACTCTGCTTGGAGAAAACTTCTGTAAGTTATTGGATTTATGAAAGTCTTTACTGTTTATTAGTCTTTTCAGGGAAAACCTACTGTTTCTTTGTTATTTAGAGAAATTTCACCAATTACATACATTGATAAAGTCAAAGTAGTATTCAAAAATTAGCTTTGTGTCACGATTGTCATTGGCAATTTACATGTTTTATACGACGTTTGTCATGATATGCGGGAATAGTGTAGACAATGGAGAACAGTTGGGTACAGTTTTACTGGTAAGCTACATGTCACCATATGCAGAAATTACCGCAAAGGAGGTCAGCATCATGCAAAGATAATTTCCTGCCAACGGATTTAACGTAATTAAGGGCTTGATATAGTTCCTTCAATATATTGTTAAGTTGAAATTGAGTAGTATAAGATGACAAAAGGAATCCTAGAGATAGTATGTTTTCTCAAACTAACTCATCCAGCTCAATTACAATACAAAAAAGATGCTGAGAAAACATTAACACAGTAGTTCGAAAGAAAATACTGATATCTTTGTCAAAATTGTGGAAATCTAATTTCAAGTTCACAATTGGAAGATGAGTACTGCGGGTAAGAAGCTTACCTTGTCAACTTCAGCATATTTTCAAGATCAACATGCACCTGATTGGATACATCTGTAATATGAAAATGAAATTAACTAGTAATTCATCTTGGTTGATTAGACTCTTAGACTCTAAGTGAGGATCAATTATAGATCTCATTCTCATCCATTCTTTTTTTGTTTAATTGATGAAAAACGATGGGAACTCTAGCTTGAGATCCCAGCCTCATTCTCATTCATGAGCAATGCGTCCAATGTTAGTATCAAGTTTAAATGCGACACTTTCAAGGAACATTTGCTACAGTTATGAATGAGATAAAGAAGAAAAAAAGTATTCGATCAGAAGAGCTTACATAGGGTAACAAACAAGTACACGTAACCTAAATTCTAACTTAACAGAAATATGTTAGCGGTTTTATCCCCTTCTGAGAAAGAATGTACATCATCCTCCAGATTTTAGGTATCAGGAGACTGTAAATATCTGCTGATTATGAAAATATACAATATTGTAAAAACAATGATAATTGACTTGTGACTCATGCTACAGTACTCAATCGAAAAGATCAAATAAACTACAACCATTCACAAATCAGAGGTGCTTTATTTGGTTATAGTTATATTTGGAAAAGAGAGTAACCTTTTCATTCACAATGAGTGGACAGTTTTCGTATATCATACTCCCTTTAAAAGATGTAGTTGTGGAAAAACTTTTTAGGGACTATATTACCCTTATTCTTTTTTGGTATGACATTCTAACACTAACTAAACTAAATTGATTATCATTGTTAATTAATTATATTATATGTCACTTTACGTTTGTATAATTTGGTCCCTAAAACTTCCAACGTTATTGTAAAACTATACATCATATTAATTATTAGTAATGTATAATAATATATTAATAGATAATTGTATGTCAATAAAATATTTATAGAAAGAGGAGAAGACATAGAATTATTCTAAAATTATACCATGAAACTCATATAGAAATATTACAAAGAGCATTTTTATATTTAGGTAATAGGACAGAAGGTACAAATATTAAATTTTAGAAAACATTAGGATATTTATGTCACGGCCCGAATCTGCAGCGAAAATTCATAAAATACGGGGTACGCGACAGCAGCGACCCATGCACGAGACAAGTCTTATGCACGAGTCAAGCCTGGCAATTCATATCACATAGTTTATTTTCAAAATATTCATAATCCTGCTGATGATAGAAATCAGAGCAACTATATATATATGATCGGTACTTACAGCCCACAAGCTCACCGTTATAAGCATTTTTACAAAACAAAATAAATTGTGCTGAAGATAACATCAAAAAGAAGAGGCTCTCCATATCTCGCCTCTCAGCCAAAAGCTCAAAGCAAAAGTCGGCTAATAGGAAGCTACGCCGGATCTGAAAAAAATATTTAAAAACAACGGGGTGAGCTAGCGCTCAGTGAGAACATTCCCACTAGAGTTCCTAGATAACTAACAAAATAGTAATAAGAATAGTTCTCAAAAATTAACAAATTTTAAGTTTTGCATGAGAAATTCACAGATAGCAGAATACGATCCAAATATCGTAATATTGTCCTTTTTAAGAAAGAATACAACAATTATATTTTCTTTCTCATGTGCAACTGAATAAACTGTGAAATTTCTTGAAATCAAACCCTTTTTGAATCAAGGTAAACATTAAGAAGAAAAAGAACTACTAGTTTATACAAAATCAGAGAATTGTTGTTTTTTTTAATTTCATAGTCAATTATCAGAATCTTATTTCTCGATGAGTATTTCATGAATGTAAAGTCACCCCATAGGTCACACTAAGGCTACGAATTTTAGCCTAGTAGCAAGGAAATACGTAAACCGCATCAGATAACAGATAATTCCCGAGAACCGAATGCACCTATCACTGCCATAGGCTACCGGCCAAATACAGAGGGGCCAGAACAGATTTCAGAAGGGCTAATACAGAAGGGCTAAGGCCAATACAGAAGGGCCAAATAAAGGTGCATTCACCATATGGCAGGCAGAACTAATCCATAGTGGACTATTTGAGGGTTTGAAAACATCAAGCTCACATGTCAAATGAGAAATACTTTGCATATCAGAATTTGCAGATATTTCAGATGAAATTGACAAGGTGAAACTTCTCATTTCTGTTAAAATAGTTTACGGATATTTACTTTTCCTTTTATCAGATACTAAACCACGGAAAATCTTTGATTTCGTTAAACTGTTGAAATACGTTCCAATATTTCATCAAAAACTTCCAGATATAACAAAGTCCACAATTATTTGAAAATTGCACGAGAGCCAAAGTTATTTTTCATATTTTACATAAAGATCAAATTAGCTTTTGATATATTGTATACGAAGAAATAGGTCAAATCTTTATATACATGAAAAGACATATTATTTATTTATTTATTTTTATCACAAGATAATTCAAATATAAAATTCATGCAATTTCATATTATAAAATACTAGTGAGAAATGAACTCACCTCTAGTGGTCACGACTTTCTCCAAATATTAGTCTCCCGAATATCAATCAGAACCTATAATGTAAGATATATGACTAATTACTAATTCAGGACAAACATATATTATAGGTAAATCAATTCATAACCTAAAGCCTAATAATTTTAGATATAATCAATAATAATTAAATTCTACAGTACATATGAGCTTATTATTAACTTTAACAATTTATCAAAATTTTTATAACTCTCACATACTAGCTTTTCGGATTCCCTAGTAATTTATAATGATGTAGGGGGTTATAGGGAATTTTATCAAGTCTAAAATTTTTATTGTTTATTCCTAAGACTAGACTTATTTACAAATAGATTAAATGACAAGGGCCTAACAAATATTTTCCAGTCCTCTCTTTTTTTTTCAACCCTAACTTATTACTATAAGGTTTGTTTCAAAAAAAAATTTATGTTTTAGGGCTAAAGGTAAAATTTCCTTTCCTTATCTAAACTCCAGCCTTCCTGATCATCATCATCCCTTCTTCATTGCCTCTTCTTTCGTTCTCTTTCTTCTTCTTTTTTTCTGCGGTTCCTCTTTCTCTATTCTTCTTCTTTTTTTTTCTTCGGTTTTCTTCTCCTCTCCTCCCATCTCTCTCTCTCTCTCTCTCTCTCTCTCTCTCTCTTCTTTCTCTCCGCCATGGAGGTGGGACGGCGACGAGGGGCCATCGACGACAAGGAGAGGCCGACGGCGGAAACCCCGCCCAAAACAAGGTTAGCTTATTATTATTTTTTTCATTTTATTTCATGCCTCCTAAACACAGAAATTTGCAAACCCTAGATTCTTTATTTTACATTCATAAAAAATTAACTCCTTCACTCATTCTAATTTGATTCGATTTACTAAGATTTCTATAAAATTTGAAAGAATATTATACCTCAATTGATTGGAATGTTCATTTGTTGCCTTAATCTCCTTTTCTCCCTTCACAACTTTTCTAATAATTCAAGAAGTTTTGTTAAAGAGGAGAGGTGTTGACTGTGCTTGTTTGTTTTTTTCTGTGATTTTCTTTGATTTTTTCTGTTTTTCTCTGTTTTTATTCTCCCGTTAAAGAGGTGCCGGCCAAACTGTCGAATGAATTTTAGCCACAAAATCATTAACGTGGCAATTAATCAGAGGTTAGGGTAAAATCCCGAAAATACCCTTAATTAATTTCTTAACCTGTAATTAAAAAAAATCTCTATTAACCAAGTTTTTAAGGCACTAAAAATCTGGGTTACAACAATTTAAGTGCAACAAGACACATTATCTAAAATTTAAAAAAGTGGAGGTATATAAGTATAATCTTGGTAAACTATAAAGTATTTAAGTTCAGTTAAGCCTATAAAATATTTAAAACCTTTGTTATCCACAAACAATAGTATATGATCCCATTGATAAATAATATTCATCAGATAATATGAGACGAGATGCTTATCTTATATTTATATAGCAGAGGAGATGTGGAAAAATTAAGCATCATATTTTGAATGAGTCTAAAGGTTTTGAATTTTTTCCATAAAGTATATACTTTGCTTAGAAAACTTTAGAAGGGGCTTTTGAAGGAATACTACAAAATGTTGGACATCGAATAAATATTGAACAAATAAAATCTATGATATCAGATTGTAAAAATTAGGGATATGTATGTAATACTGGGTGTCATACAAGATTATTTATACATAACATGTCATTGTAATATATAATCTAATATATTAATAAATTTTAAACATAAGAATTTGCATCAAGATATATGCTTAAGATTTGGGAGAGCCAAGAGTGGAGAGATTTGGGAGAAGAACTATGGCCTTTGTGGGTTCTGATTTTGTTTCCTAAACACAATCCGAACCCAAACCCACAATCAAATTAAAAATGACATGATTTTCTCGATATATTCAAAAGGATACATCGGTCATATTTTCAATAATGGTCGATATATCAAACAATTCACCAAACAAAAGAAAATAATATAAAAATATTACCGAGATAAAGTCTTTAACACTGATATATTGGCCGATATAGCAATATATTGGCTGATATTTAATAGAATGCCAATAAGAGCAAATATGTAAAGGTTATCTAGATATTAGTTCCTTGATTTTAAATATCCAACGATTCTATGTTATTCCCTCAAAATTTTGAAATTGCTCATAATTTTAGGGACTAATATTAAATTATTAAAATTTTGAGGGACAAATTATAAATAAACCATATTTAAAATAAGACTTAATTTTTTAAAAATCCTCCTAACTATGTGGATTGTCTTAAAAACCCACTCAATGGATTCGGTTTGACAAAACCCCCTTATTAGAGGGGATGTTATAGATAACCCCTCTTAATTTTGGTGCAATTTAGAAAACACCTCTCAACTTTAGCGTGTCTCATAAAAACTCACATAATCTTTTACACTTCTATCAACAAACCTCCTTAACATAGTTACTTTAATTTGTGATTTGAACAAAATACCCTCTTGAAGAAAGAGATTTTAATTTAAAAGAAATCCTTAACCGATAATAAAAGGACCACAACTAATTTATAATTCTTTTTTTCTCTATATCACCTCTTTTTCTTCATATGGCAAAAAACCAAGGTAATTATTTTATGATTGATTAATTTTTTTGGTCTTTCCAAGTGAAATACTTATCACATAGTAGATAAAACTCAATGATATTAGCTTTGAGAGGGTAGGTTTAAGTAAGAAAAGTCCACAGGGGTTAAATCAAAATTTTTTAAGTTGAGATAGATTATCTACAAAACACCAAAAACTTGACGTAGATTTACTTAGTTTTAAATAGGTAGTTGAGGGGGAGTTTTCTAAAATTAACCCTTAAATAAAAACACAACTTAAGGCTCATGTGCCATTAATTTTATAAGAGTAGAGTTTATAACAAGTCTATCACTCAATGATTTGGTTTGGGTTATTTGTCCTTAAGTTTGTCCTACACATCAACTCGGAAAATCTTTTGCTAGAAGAATCTCTAAGAGAAATTTAATATTTATTTAGGATGAGTATATGATCCCTCTAATTCCCCTTTGTCTATCATGATTTGTAATAAATTATTTGACAAAATAAATCAAGTTGTTATTTTATATTGCTCACCTTATTATAAGTTTATGAAGCTCATAGCTTGGATATGGATATTATTGCAGATATTGTATTCGTCTAAGTCATTAAGCTAAATTTTTGGATGTTGTTTCACATTGAATATATATGAATTATTTTGTTAAAATACAATCAATATAAGTGCATAATATGTATAAATCATTCTCAAACTATATTTTATGATTTTCTAAAACTAGATGATAATCATTTTGACAGATCAATTAGTAGTTTGGAAGATGTAAAAAGATTTTAGAATTGATCATATAATTTATATTTTCTTTCTTGATTGAATTTGCACATTCTAACTTAAAAAAAAAGTTCTTGAGTATCTATAATATTCGGTCACTAGATAAATATTAGGTGGAAGTAAACAACATGTGGAAGTGATTTTTTTTATAACTGAACGAAATCATTAATGATTAGATAAAACCAACAATTTTTCTATGATGAATTCAAGAATTTCTTTTTTCATTAATAATAATAGGATTTTTCAGTATTGGTCCCTTACATCATTAATATTTTGAAATTATACTTTCAAATTGTTAATTAATCTTAAATCATTAATACTTTAAATCTTTAAATATCACTATTTTTATGGAAGACAAAACGTTAAAACCATAAAATTTTAAAACCACGCTTGGAAATATCCATAAAAAAATTAATATATCATGATAATTATAAAGTTTTATGCAACCCCATGTTATAGTAAAGAAATACATTTAAAGTAAATAATTATGATATTTGACCACATACAGTGCACGTGCATTCCACCTAGTAAAAGAAAATACCTGGATCAATAAAATCATTATTGTTGTAATCTTGTTGTTATATATCACATATCATAAGTAAAAAATCAAACATGAAATGTAAGAGTAAATAAATAGAGAAGAGAAGAGATAGGGAGAAAGTAATCATCTTATTTTATTCATCTTCTATTTCTCCATCCATTTTGTCTTCCATGGCTTACATTATATAGATGTGAAAGAGAATACTAAAAGTCACAAGTAGGTGAAGAGACTTCTTCTAGTAATATCCACATTCATTTTATTTATATTTACTACACTCCCCCTTGGACATTACTACATGATGTTAATGTCTCGTTAAAAACCTTGCTAGAAAAAACCCAGTGGGAAAAACTAGTCGAGGAAAAGAGTACATGACCTACATTATTTCTGTTACATCAGTTGTCTTGTTAAAAACCTTTCACTAAGAAAAACCATGTAGGACAAAAACTTAGTAAAGAAAAAAAGAGTACAAATATAGATCTTTGGGATCCAAACTTGTGCTGCATTAGCTACCTTGTCAAAAACCTTTAGCTAAGAAAACCCAGTGGGACAAAAACTTAGCTAAGGAAAAAAGAGTACAGCCACCTCCTTCGGGGTTTGATTTTCAGGATTATTCTGAAAAATAATTTGCTCCCCCTCAAGACAATAAACATTCAAGTCTATGCATACCGTGGTGGCCAAGCACGATACCTAAAATTAAAAGTTAATGTATTAAGGGATTTGGTGATCAAATCGTCTAGATTGTCACTACTTAAAGCGAACTTATCTATGTTAATTTCATTGTTATTTTCGAGCTCAAGTGGATAAAAATTTTCCACATCTTATTTATGCAACACAAGTTACATTGTCCTTAGAAAAAACAACGGGGGCAATATCCTTGTTTAATATGTCACACGATCATTGAATGTGTTTTATCAACGATTTGAACCTTAAACTTTCACATGGGGCACATACAGAGGAACAATCTCTGAGTGGTTTCAATTAGTAAATATTGTCTGCTTAATAGACCTCCAAGAAATAATAGTACCACTGCAGAGAAAAACATAACCAGTCAGAGATTTGGCAATATAGGGATCAGTCATATAACCAACACCGGAATAGCCCACCAATGTCATATTTTGATTTTTTTTATAGAATAAACAAAGATCTCTTGAAGATACCAGATGATATGTTTAACATTATTTCAATATCTCCTTTTAGGAGATGCACTAATTCTTGCTAGCAAGTGTAACACAAATGCAATATCAGGCATGGTGTAATTTGTAAGATAAATAAGTACTTCAATAGCGTGCTCAAATACGGGACCTCGAGTCCTAAAATATCCTCGTTATTTTCTTTAGGTTTGTATGGGTCTTTATCCACTTTAAGGGATTTAACAACCATTGGTGTGCTAAGTTTATGAGATTTATTCATTTAAAATCTCTCCATGACCTTCTTCAAGTAGGTTGACTGGTATACCAATATTTTTTTAGGAACATGCTCGATCTACAGGTCGAGACAATACTTGGTTTTTCCCAAGTTTTTTCGTTTCAAACTCCGTCTTTAGGCATGAGCTAGCTTCTATAAGCTCCTTGTGTGTTCCAATAATATTTATATCATCAATATAGTCTGAGATAATACAGAAGCCATTTTCGAATTTCTTTATAAACACACAAGGACAGACATCATTATTTGGATATCTCCTCTTCAGGAGGAACTCACTCAGCTCCCGACTATTTCAAGTCGTATAACGACCTTTATAATTTAATGCTATACATGTTGCGATTCTCGTTTTCTCTTAATTCAAGAATTTGAAGTCCATCAGGGACTTTCATATAAAAATATTAGCGTCTAATGACACATATAAAAATATGGTTATGACGTACATATACTGCATATATAAATTCATAGTTTCTGCCATAGGTATTAACTTGCGGAACGTAATACAATCACTAATAGGAGAATATTTTACATCTAAATCAATGACGGGTCTCTGCGTGAACGCATTGAGTTATGTTTCTCGCTTTATATCTCACCACCTTACAATTCTTATTTATTTTTCTTACAAATACCTATTTATATCCTGCAGGGATATATGGACTGCAGGTTCAAAATACTTTACTGAGTTCAGCTCAGCCTTAATTGCCACTTTCCATCTCACCTAGTCCGAGTGTTTCAAGCACTCTGTTACCGACTTAGGTTCTGGATCCAGATTATTTTCGAAAATAGTAAGAGCAACTGTAGAGGCAACTATGTTGTCGACAACTTTTATATTTCTATTATATATTTCTCTTTTTTCATAAATTTGTGGTCACTTTAATTCTTATTTTATGTCAACCAAATCCTCGTCATTTCCCTTAACAATTGGATTTGGTCGTTCCGCATCTCCAATATTATGATTATTAAGCGCACGCACAATTTGTTGGAGATTTCATCTTTAGGACAAGCCTCTTCCGGAGGTTATGGGAGTGACTGTCTTTCGATATATAATTTAGTTTGCCGCGGACTTTTATCTTTTACACTAACATGTTTTATATGCTTCTGGCACAGTATGCTTCTGGCATACCAAATCATTAATGATATACTCAACATGAATATAGGGCTTAGTCACTGTTTTCTTAGCAGATTATCATGTAAACTTCTGGTTTAGTTTGACTAGTATGTGGATATAAATATTGAAGATCTTTTTCATCAATATAATTTCTTGACATTATTTTGTATTTTGGGCACTAATCTCCCCCTAATGTCGAGAATTGATCTTCAATAAAAATACAGTCAGCGTACCAAATTGTAAATTGATCCCCTAACATGGGCCATAAGTACTAAATTATTGAAGGAGTTTTATAAATAATGTATGTACCTTCACCAATGTCTCATAGAGGTACGCTATGGTGGTGATATAGAAACATTGACTGTAAATAAAGAATACGCAGATGGGAATTGTCTCGCTTCTTCACCACTTATTAGATAAAGGGGAAAAATTGTGATATGCAATTGGTCGGATTTGGTTTGTATGCCCCATTTAATTTAAGGAAATCCGACAAATCATATTTTTACCCAAGATGACCCAATAGCTCATGCCAGAATTTAAAAGAATTTAGGTCCCTAAATCTCAAAAATTATCACAACATGGTGTATTTTAGGTCATACAAATTCTAAAGTGTATAAATAAAAAAACACATAGGTTCACAAGAGTTTAAAGCAAACTCAAGTTAAATCAAAATTGTCTGACAAATTTATATAATCTTGTAGGCTGTCTAAAAATCACAATAGATAGTTGATCATCATCAAACACTGATGATGGAAGTTACAATTTGACGGCTTTCAGAAGGCTACAATTTAAAGAATTTCACGTAGATCGATGAAGGTTACAATCTGACGATCTTCTCAACAACTGATGAAATCTCTAATCAACAGTCTTCACAATCAACATCGGGAGTTATAATCTGACGACTCTCATATATTTAAGGAGCCAAGACGAAGATTACAAGGTGATAGTCTTTGCAACGCTTTAGCAAAAGAGACTACAAATTGACAGTCTCTTCAAATCCAAACGCAGAGCTTACCTCTGCGTCCCAGATTCAAAACGCATAGCTTGTGGCAGAGTTCTAAACTCCCAGAAGCAAATCGCAGAGGTCCTCCCTGCATTACCACCTCAAAATGCAGAGGTCATCCTTATGTTACAACATCAAAACACAGAGTTCGTGGACTCAAGACGCAGAGTTTGCATAGAGTCCAACTCTGCATCCCAGGCTCAAAACACAGAGTTCGCATAGAGCCCAACTCTGCGTCTCAGGCTCAAAACGCAGAGTTCATGCATAGCTCAACTCTGCGTCACAGGTCCAAAACACAGAGTTCATTTCTGCGCAGCGCGACCTGTGCGTTTAGCCACCAAAATAGGCACAACTCTGCGTTTTAAGTCTAAAACGCAGAGTTCGGGCCCTGAACGCTATTTTTTAGTGTTTGACTCGTTCAAAACATGAATTGAACGGTTTCAAAATCGTATTCCCCACGATTTGGGGAGCTGTTTGAGGGGGTGGTTACACCCCATTCAGCCCCACTTAGGAGCGAATTAAGGGGGCGGTTACACCCCTTAATCCCCTATAAATAGGGGTAAACTCAACTGAGTTCTGGTTGGCTTTTTGTATTTGGGACTTGGCAGCGAAGGGGGAATTTCTTGGAGCAGAAAGGGCCTGAAGGGATCGACATCATTCTCCAACGGAGATCATCTTCAACTTCAGCAACGAGGAACTCGTCCTTGGCTTACAAACTGATTTCGGTTAAATCAACTCTTTCATAAAGTTTCAAACTCGTTCAGAGTTATCAACTCATCAAGAGTTTCAAACTTGTCACGCAAGTTCTCCACAGCGTCAAATTGTGAGGAGGAGATATCGTTCCAGCGAATCAAGACATGCGGATCGTCAACGGAGAGCAAACTCGATGCGAGCATTCGAGGGAGAGACTCCATCGCCATCGTGAAGAACCCAGAATTAAACAAAGGGGAGAATCCAGATCATTCTCCTCTCTTTTATAATTAGGAAATCTAATTGTAATCGAGATTGATAGGGTTGTAATCATTCTTTTTCTAAACAGTTAGAGAGAATAAATCAAATACGATTCTTTCATTATTTTTCTTATTACAAATTTTCCACCAAACAAATCCAAATATAGAAAAACCAAATAGTTTACCTTGACCACCTCGATGAGATCTACTACCTTCGCCTCGTCCAAGCTTATGAATATTAGTTTGAATTATGACATGTGCTTCAGACACTATGACTGAACCAATTAAACTTGCATTATGGTTTTTCACAACAGCTGGTTGTGTTTTTAACAACTACTAAGGCAAGGATTAGTTCATAATGCTTAATATAATTTTTAGTTGTACTATTGTAAGAGTACAAGGTTACTTGTTGAATTGTATTCAATCGAGGGTTTAAAATCCAAAAATGGCTACATGATAAGATCTCCTACTATGTTCATAGCCTCCTCCTTGTCATGCCTATAAGTAATTTTCTGAATTATAGCATGTGCTGCAAACACAACTCGTAAGCCAACTAGTCTAACATTATGATTTCTCATCAACAATTTGTTGTGACTCTCTACAACTCAAATGTAGATATCAAAGCAGAATGCTTGGCATAATTTTTGGCCATGTACTGCTACTATACTACTTGCATGGAATGGGAAAAAAAATCTTTTTGATCAATTCTACAAGCTTCACCCGCTATACAATATGGCACATGGTTGAATCATATTTAGTAATGTATTTGATATCCAAAAAGTTCTGATTCAGTCTGCCAATTGTGTTTGAGGAAAGATTATTGGCTTCCATAGATCAAAGCGATCCATTAGGAATTGCCTAGAAAAGTGAATACTTTTTCAGTGAGTCATTAATTTTTCACGTCTTAATTGATAGAGAGAAAATTTAAAGTGTTTGCCTTCTGGGCAAAGATAATTAAAAAATCAAGAGATATAATCATGCAAAAAATCACAAGAGTGTCAGTAAAAATGAACGTTCGAGACCAAAGATAAGTAATAATTACTATCATATATCACAGTGCACTAATCATGGGGATGAAAGATTAATGCATGAGAAATTAGAAATATTCACATGTCCTATAACACTTAAATACCCAGAAGAGAGACTCTATCTCAAACTTATAAAAGATTTGACATCCTTTAACCGTTGCTTGCATTGATAGCATTTGGAAAATTCAACATCACATTAATGCCATAGCACTAGTCTATAAGCAGGCTAACAGCTAACAAGGGTCTAAATCATCTTTGATTGTTGAACTTAAATTCATTAGTCATATACGAATTCAATCAAAACTCTATAGTCCAAGATTAGTGGTGAAACATCCATTTACTTACCACTGTACAAAGATAGAACACTTTGTAAACATATAAAAGCTCATATATGCATGTATATTATATGAAAAAGAAAAAATATAAGAAGCTTGTATAAAAGAATTCTCAAAAATCGTACAGAGGAGTAAAATTATTAGTCTTTGATCTATACTGGTTAGGGGAACAAACAGAAGAACCCATGCAGATGAAGGATGTGCACCACAAAAAGTGATATAAAATCCAAAGCTCCACATATTGAGTTTGCGAATTTACTTTTGTTTGCACACCACAAAAAGTGATATAAAATCCAAAGCTCCACATATTGAGTTTGCGAATTTACTTTTGTTTGCATGAGTAGTCATAAAACTAATTAGCATGTTTTTCAAGTGCTTCAATCTCAGCTATCTGTTTGTGTAAACGTATTTCAAGTGAATGCTTCTTACAGGTCCATACGCCATATTTAAGATGGTCAACTATGAGAAACAAGAATAAATAAATAAATAAAACCTTTCGAGTATCAAGTTTCCAAAAAACTGAGTTTTGTTTGAATAATAGTAAACATAAAATAAACCAACTTTATCATGTTAAATTTTCAAGTGTTTCAGAATCAATTCTCGTTTGTACTTTGTATAACAATGAACATCAAACAAACTATCCAGCATTTCAAAGTGAATCTTTCAGTTATATGAGCGAATTATTTTATGTACCATGATGGTCAAACAAATAATAAGAGGAACAGATACCAGCAAAACAATTGCATCAAAATTTTGCAAAAAAAGACTTCAAAGCACTATTGAAATATACACCGAAGTCAGTCTTACTTGTAAATATGCAACATAAAAGTTAATCCGCCACGTAATTCATAAAGTGTTTCATCCTTAATACTCTTATTATACTTATGGCAAAAGAAAATAAAAATCTTGCATCAAAATCGCATAACATACTGTTACAGAGGCATAATCGATCAACCGATAATGAAAATATAAAACTTTGTAAATAGACAAAGGTCGAATGTATTATGTACTGTTACCTCGTAAGATGTGTACACCGAAATATCTCTTACCATCAGCGGATGATTACAAATCGGCTAGCTAGAGCTTTCGTGCTGATAACGTGTTGTAATCTTGTTGTTATATATCACATATCATAAGTAAAAAATCGAACATGAAATGTAAGAGTAAATAAATAGAGAAGAGAAGAGATAGAGAGAAAGTAATCATCTCATTTTATTCATCTTCTATTTCTCCATCCATTTTGACTTCCATGGCTTACATTATATAGATAAGGAAGAGAATACTAAAAGTCACAAGCAGGTGAAGAGACTTTTTCTAGTAATGAATAAAAGTATGACTTAGTGCAATTCACAGGTTATAGT